TTCTGAAATTTTGCAGATAACTCTTCCAGAATTTAACTTAATTTTAATTTAATGTTGTATTTATTTATTTAAACACATTTTTTAAATGATTTTTTTTAAATTATTATTTATTTATTTATTTAAATAGGCATCATTATTACTAGATTTCTTTTCAAACCAAAACCCAAGTAATAAAATGTCTTGTTTTTATTATTATAAATTATTTAGGCACTCTAGCACTCACATTGCAATGTTCTAGAAAAACTCAACTTACCAACCCACAACATCTTAGAATTGTGTTGGGGAGAGTTGCACATGTATAAAAACCGTATGTTTTTTTCTTTTTCTTTTGTCTTTTTAAAATAAAGTCTAGAGATGTATAATGCAGGATGGATTTAAAACTGCTGTTATGTGTGCATATGCACGACACTGTGCCGTGGTTCAACCTGTAATCTGTGAGCATTTCACTGTCCTGGCACCCATACTGTATGTCTGCTTTAACCGTTGCGTTCGGGTCTTGACCTGATATAAGGAGCAGGGAGAACAGAGAAGCGAGACACTCACAGACAGAAATCAATGGCAGCTGTCAATGAAATCCAAGGTCGTCGTACCCCCCGAACGAATAGATTAAGGTAGCACCCATTTGGCAGAAGTACTTTTAGATGGTAATGGAGCATCTGACATCTTAGCAGTGATGGACCATGCATCTCTTTCTAATTTTATTATTATTATTTTTTTATGTTACTTTTAACCAGAAACCCATTGGCCAGGTAATAATGGTGTATTATCAGACAATATTAGCAATATTCGATTATGGCAATATTAGAAATATTCGATTATATTTAATTTGAGATGAAACTGTTTTAAAATCGTATCTTTTTGCTATCTTATAATCCATTACAATGTACAAAACAATCGTCTAAAAATGGCAGCGGCTGCACTTGTACGAAACGAGACAGTCCGCGATACCGGATGACATAATTAAATAACTGCACATAAAATATTGATTTTAGTTTAATATTTGATTAGCTCACCAAACGCAAAACTTCCACGAGGAAAACCCAACTTATACCCGGATGAGCCTGTGTTGTCAGTTTTTACCGGTTGTTATCGAGGAATAACATAATGCTGGATGGCGCATTTCAATATTTATATAATTATTTATTATAGTAATAATAATCCTTTTTGGCATGTTGCTATCAGCCAGAATATTAATTCTATATTTAATTAATTAAATATGAATTAAACTATGTAATGAATCATGTACAGTCAGTGTCCCATTATCTTAAAAAATATCGATTTTATCTTTATTATTTGTATTTTAACATAAACTACATACAAATACTTTGAGTTTAGCAGTCACTCCTTCAAATATTAGGCCTTTAAATCTTTAATATATTTCATTAGAACAGGGATATAAAATGAAATCAAATGAGGACATTTAATGCTTGCATACAGGAAATTATCATATATAATAGTTGAATAAATGAGCCTGCACATGCTGGGATTTTTCAGCTTCAACTTTTAATTCCAGAAGCTTTTCAGGATGTCCCACAAGCCCTGCTGTGAATAAATACCCATCCTGTACTCAAACTGACTGTTTTGCCTGAAACTGTTTATCAAATCACCTCTGAACTCCTGACTCCTCCTTTTCGGCCCTCCCTTCCTCTCAGAAGACCCCACATCAGACGTCTCCTCCTCTCTCTCTCTCTTTGGCCTTGTACTCTCAGCCCTCTTAAAATCTCTCGACAGAAGTGGAGTTTAAAGGATGTGCTCCTCTACCCCCCTCTGTGGTTGTCACGGGTGATGGGTGACATGGGCGTCTTGGCGGCTGCCACCACTGTTTACATAATTTCAACATGGCCGCAGGGAAAAAGAGACTTCGGCTGCAACGATCTTCTCTTTGCACTCCTCCAATTAGAAAGGCCCCTGCTCCGCCGCTTAGCACGGCTCTCGGGGAACGGGAATATTCCAGCTTAACTTTTCAGCCCGCGGGGATCGGCTGGCTGAGTCACCAAAGAAAGATGCCACGGTGGAGTTGAGAGGACGTTTAAGACAGACTAAAGATGCCCCAGTTTATCTGACAACATCTAAAATGTTGGACGTGAAGTGGAAATGGTGGTGCCAGAAATGTTGAGAATGTTTTGTGAGCACCGAACTGTATTTTTAAAGTGTCAAATCAGTCTTGTTGTAAACAATTTTTGGCTGAAGTAATAGTGTATCAAAATTGAAAGTCTTGGTGATGTCAGTGACATCACCTAGGCCACATGAGCCATTGGATAATCCAATAACTATTTTTTTAATGATACAATCAAATCCCTAGAGAGAAGATAATAGTTCTGCCATACTTTTTTATCTTAGTTGAAAACAGGGGAGCATTATTTATATATATATACACTCTATATATACACTCTATATATACACATATATGGATGTGGTGGAACGGGAGATTCGCATCATGGATGTGCATCATGGATATATACACTCACCGGCCACTTTATTAGGTACCCCATGCTAGTTACGGGTTGGACCCCCTTTTGCCTTCAGAACTGCCTCAATTCTTCGTGGCATAGATTCAACAAGGTGCATGAAGCATTCCTCAGGGAGTTTGGTCCATATTGACATGATGGCATCACACAGTTGCCGCAGATTTGTCGGCTGCACATCCATGATGCGAATCTCCCGTTCCACCACATCCCAAAGATGCTCTATTGGGTTGAGATCTGGTGACTGTGGAGGCCATTTTAGTACAGTGAACTCATTGTCATGTTCAAGAAACCAATTTGAAATGATTAGAGCTTTGTGACATGGTGGAAGTAGCCATCAGAGGATGGGTACATGGTGGCCATAAAGGGATGGACATGGTCAGAAACAATGCTCAGGTAGGCCGTGGCAATTAAACGATGTCCAATTGGCACTAAGGGGCCTAAAGTGTGCCAGGAAAACATCCCCCACACCATTACACCACCACCACCAGCCTGCACAGTGGTAACAAGGCATGATGGTTCCATGTTCTCATTCTGTTTACGCCAAATTCTGACTCTAACATCTGAATGTCTCAACAGAAATCGAGACTCATCAGACCAGGCAACATTTTTCCAGTCTTCAACTGTTCAATTTTGGTGAGCTCTTGCAAATTGTAGCCTCTTTTTCCTATTTGTAGTGGAGATGAGTGGTACCCGGTGGAGTCTTCTGCTGTTGTAGCCCATCCGCCTCAAGGTTGTGCGTGTTGTGGCTTCACAAATGCTTTGCTGCATACCTCGGTTGTAACGAGTGGTTATTTCAGTCACTGTTGCCCTTCTATCAGCTCGAACCAGTCTGGCCATTCTCCTCTGACCTCTGGCATCAACAAGGCATTTCCGCCCACAGAACTGCCGCTCACTGGATGTTTTTTCTTTTTCGGACCATTCTCTGTAAACCCTAGAGATGGTTGTGCGTGAAAATCCCAGTAGATTAGCAGTTTCTGAAATACTCAGACCAGCCCTTCTGGCACCAACAATCATGCCACGTTCAAAGTCACTCAAATCAACTTTCTTCCCCATACTGATGCTCGGTTTGAACTGCAGGAGATTGTCTTGACCATGTCTACATGCCTAAATGCACTGAGTTGCCGCCATGTGATTGGCTGCTTAGAAATTAAGTGTTAACGAGCAGTTGGACAGGTGTACCTAATAAAGTGGCCGGTGAGTGTATATATATATATATATATATATATATATATATATATAAATCATCCACATTTTTATTGTATCTATCAACATTTATATCAATTAATCATTGTACATAACGATGTGATGCCTACATTTATTTAATTTAAACCTTTAGAATGTAATCATAACATACTATATTATAATTATTTCTAGTGTTTTATTTATTTAAATAGTATAGAATGTTAATAGCAGTCCATAACATGAAAATAATCATTGGCTGTGTATTAGCCAGAATTTTTATTTAGTTTTCATTCAAGTTTAATATCATATTACAGAAGTAAAATGACTCATGAACAGTTTCACATTGACTTTTATCATCTCATATCCATTTCGGTTCTTGGATGTATTGTTATTTGAATACAATCGATCAAGCTTCTAGCATTAAATAAGAAGTCGTTCTCATTACAGTTAATGACTGCGTATGATATTTATTTTCATGGTATTTGCCGAAATGCATATTTGATTGCTACATTAATTGCCTGCATACACCTGTGGAATGCTAATGCGCTCCCTCCAAAACTTTTCAAGTTCCAATGCAATCAAAGTACAGAAAACTGTAGAGAATCGTATTCCCAATTGTGACGATACCACAGAGTCTAACTTTTTCTGAGAGCCTTCTCATTTTGAAAGAGGCCTTTGATGTCTCTAGTCGCTGGAGTTCTGCTTAAGTGAACTGTAATCTCTAGCATTAAGACTCGCTCTATCTTTATCTCCATCCCTGAAACAGCCAAATGAATTACCACCAAATTTACTCCCCTCTCAATTTGGCCCTCACCTTGCGATAGGGGGGGCATTTCCTTAATGGGGCCCAGCCATTTATAACCTTTTTGTGTCATCAGCGGACGATAGCACAATAATCAATATAATTTTTTTTTTTTTTTTCTGAACAGAGGGGAATGTGAAGTTTGACCCCGTGCGTGCACTTGTTTGTGTGAACCGGATGGATGGAAATATATTTTCATTTTCTGTTTTTCGGTCTCTATTTTTGCACCCTCCTTCAAATCCTTTCCTCATCCTTTTGTGCCGCTAAAATAGCACAAAATCAGTTCCGCCGCATTGTCTGAGGAAGCAGAAATACGGCACATTAGTGTAATTTTGTTGACTGAATGGCTCTTTATTCCTTCTCAAAAAGAAAAGCCTTTTTTCCTAAACGCGTCTTAATGCGAGTAATGTCGTCTTACGATGACAGCGCTTGTCCGACCTCCTTACCCTGACACGCCGAGATCGGTTTTCTCTCGCGCTTTAAGGGTATATTTATAGAAACGTTGCAATAAGCCTGTGCCATGTTTTGTTTATTTGTTGCTTTTTTAGGTACAAGCATTTCTTGAGGGACTTGACAGAGAACACCGGTCCAGACAACCCGGAGTTTCAGCAGCTTTCAAGTAAGAGGCACCGCCGTCTCGCGATTCGACAAACACTCTCTTATCCTGTTAGCGCTCTGTGACAAAAATGTTGATGGGTTTAGCCTGTCTAGATTATTATTTTTTTTTCATTATCTGTTTATTGTCAGGATCTGTATCAAGCTGCGGAATCACATTCACCCAAAGTCACACTTGTTATGCTTGTCAAATTTGCTTTCCACTCTAGTTTGTCACTTACAGAGCAACCTAAAAAGAGATCACTCAACATGTTTGTGATGATGAGGTGCTTTGCGGAGATAAGCATTGCGGAGGATACCATGGCCTGTTGAAGAAGGTGCAAATGCTGAAATCGTTTCATACGGTGCCAAAACAAACCTGCGTCTTAAAGGGAAAAAAGTTTTTTAAGCTGGCAGCCGAAAAGACAGCCTCCCTTGTCTTTGTTAGGGTGACAAAGAACAACTCTGGGCCCCTGTTGTAGCGCTCACGTGTTGTTATTGTCACCGGCTGGCTTTGCTCTCAGAGGATGAAAGTACAGCAAAGCTTAACGTGAGTCTAAATTCTCGATGTGGATTTTGACATAATTAATAGGGACCAGATCAGAGGATATCAGCCATGCAAAATATAAATAAATAAAATCTCTGGCATCAACAGAAGCCCCGATAATGACTCTTTTCTATCGTCAAATAAACAGCAAATCCGACTTAAGAGCCAGTGTACACAAGGAATTATTTATGTGTATCAATTAAAATCTCATTGGTTGCTTGCTGCTTTTGCTTACAAATTAAAACAGCCCGTGATTCTAAGATGAAGGTACATATCCAGATTTGCCCCTCCATTGCCTCTTCCTCTTCTCATTAGAGCTGCTTTTTAAGCTCACTCGCTCTTTTTTTTGGGGGGGGGGGAGCGAGAGAGAGAGCAATAGAAAAAAGTTTTCTCAATCAGCCTAGGCATATTGTAAAGGGAATTATTTAAAAAACAACCCCAGACAAATTATATTGTATCTGATTAAGCAAACTAGCTGTGAAACTCACAAGAGGCTTTGTTGTTGTTTTCTTTTTGCGTGCTGATTTTTGTTTTATTTTTATGATTTCCTGTTTTCTCCTCTTTTTATTTATCTCATCATACATGCTCACATACGCTGTGAAGCTCCACTGTTTTAATTATTATAATTGTGGCGTTCGTCAATCATGTGCGTTTTGGTACGCTATCTTCTGCTTTTCCCTACAGCCAATCCTGAATTTTTTTTGCGTAGCCTGTCAAAGGTTAATTAGTAAAAGTTACCACTCGAGAACTCCTCGGACCAAGTTCTGTTTAAACATACTGAATGTCTAAAATGAAAAGACAGAGAGAAAGTATTCGTAGAATGTGGAATGAGAAAGTATTAATAATGCATCAGCCGTAGCTCTGTTGAAACACAATTACAGAGATGGTTTTCTTAAAAGGGAAGGACTGAGAGACATACAGAGAGGGGCCCAGTCATCTCTAAACAGTCACTTTGTTTGGTTTTGCTTGTAATTGTTCTAAAGATAAGCAACTCAATTAGGCTGTGATTATTTTACTATGAGGCAAACGCCCCGAGCGCTCTGTTCATTGTCTGAATTGTTAAGAGTCAATAAGACCAAAGCTGGGTTTAAAATTAGTATCCATCAGCTTGTTTGTTTCTTTTTGCTTCTTAATGAGTTGATGTCTACATTAGTTAATGAATTCCAGGCATGGTAACTGGCAAAATGTTTTCAGTCGCAAACTAAAAAAGTACCATTTTAAACTCGAGTTTAAAAAACGAGTTCACTCTACATTATTTACATCACGTTTTGATGCTTTTATGTTGCACAGCTTGCTTCCAATAAACCAATGAACCGCAGAAATCTGTTTTATACAGAAGCCATGTGTATCAGACAAACAAGAATACGAAATTTCCAGATGAAATATGTAGTCCTTGTGCTTTTTATGGCCAGCTTAACATCCTATGGCAAGGTCTTCACCTAATCAGTGCTATTTGGATGTGTTAATGTACCCTCATCTTTCTCCAGGGGTTAATGGTGAAATCAAACATTGTGTGGAGGCCAAAAACAAACTTGTTATTATCATATGCAATAATGGAATCTGCATAATGCATGAACGCCTATGGGTTTGCACTTATTAGTGTCATGCTGTTAGATTACTTGTATGATGCTCCTAATAAGTTCAAAATTGCATAAATAGGTCAGGCTCGTGAACTGTGTACTTTATAATTATTTTGTGAAACCATTTTAAATTCCGCAGATGTTATGTTAATAAATTATTTAACACTTTCAAATAAAGGTTTATTGTTGCATATATTTATAATAAATCATAAATTTGCATCATAGGCATGCACAATATATCGGCCACCATATCGGTATCTGTATCGATATATGTTCATTTTTAATGTTATCGTTATCAGCCCAATAAGAAAATTTGCCTGATATATTAAAGTTGATAAATAATGGATTATTTCCTTCAGCTGAGACACTTCAGTTGCACACTGTTCACCATGGTTTTAAATGACTTGAAATATGATTGGAATCAAAAAGGAAAATACAGTTAAGTGCAACATTTCTGTCATATATAGGCTACATAAAATTATAATGAAAACATTAATATAATTGTGTGCTAATTGACACCGATTTAATGGTGAGACTTTTGTTTTTGTAATTAGGCTCTTACATTTTATTTGAAAAAAAATTGGATTTAGATTTATCGACCAATATGTCAGTTATCGGCTATCAAATATAAAGATTTATTGGTTATCGGTATTGGCCAAAATGTTCATATCGGTGCATCCCTATTGCATTTTATCCATGCCATTAGGATAAACATTAAATTATGCATTTGAACATGTGGAGTCCGTAATGCATCTGTGAACGTACACTAGAAGTAATACCAAAAATACAAGTTTTAAGTTGTGGTTTGAAGGCACCGGATAGTGTGAGAGCTGCAACATGCAACAGCCAATAAGTTAGCACCAAATAGGAGAGTAATGTTGTTTTTATCTAATAATTGAGGCACCTAATCTGTGATTAGTCATGTAAAGTGTTCACCAACATGACTGAAAACTTTAAACTGTCTTTAAATGTATGCAGTGTGACAAGCTTCAGTCTTGTTGTGTGTGCTTGGCATACAGACACATTTTTGTGTTGTGTAGTTTGTTGTGCTGTTGGAGTTGGTTATGTCCATTCAGTCCCTTCCACTTTTTCATGCTGCGTGCCCTCTTTCTGCAGAGGCAGTGAAGGTCGTCTCAGAGGTCGCCCAGCGGATCCAGGACAACGCTCGCAGCCATGAGAACCACCTGCAGCTGCGCAGAGTCCAGAAACAGCTCAAGGGCCGAAAGACCAGAATCCTGACTCCAGGTTAGTGTCTGTGATCTTCCATTCTTTTTATCTCCCAGAGAACCGTGGAGAGCCAGAGAGTTAAGCGGATGAAGGAGGTCAGGTGGAAGAGTGTGGAAAAGTAGTCTTGTTTAAAAGAGACCCAGCTGTTTGCCCATAATCAATAGAGGCGATAGCGGGCGGTTTTGTTTTCGCCCGGCACAATCGTAGTCTCCGACGAGAGAATTAACTGAATTTATCGACGAGTTCTTGCCGCTAATTGGTAATGGAGGGGAAGTGTGCCTTAAGTCAGTTCTTTCCATCTTTCTTCTCTTGTGCTACTTGTGGAGTGGAGGTCCTTTCTTCCTTCTTATTTATCCCAAGGGAGAATGCCCACGTGTGAAACAAAAGAGAAGGAGATGGAGAAGGAAGGGAGAGAGAGAGAGAGAGAAAAAGACAGAGAGGGCCGTGTCGTGAATGCCTTGGCCTGCCAATCTCCCCCAGGACCAATTAGCGCCTCTCCTCATCTTGTGGGCCGGTAGATAAAAAGGAAGCTGGGAGAAAGGGAGCGAGAGAGAGAGAGAGAGTGTGTGTGTATGTATGTGTGTGTGTGTGTGTGTGTGTACAAAGGTGGTTGGGAGGCTGGCGATGAATACCCAACGAGCACTGGGCTCATTTCACACAGCGCCGGATGTAGGAAGAGTGTAAAAAAAAACCTCTCATCCTGTTTTTCCAGGACTCTAGAATTCTACCGAGGTCCTTTCTCTTGTCCAATAAGGATTCTTTTCTTCCATTCGCACTTTTTCTGACTTCAGAAGGCCGAACCGAACCAGGCCATCCCAGCTTATCTCACCCAACCCCTCCGTTTCCTCAGATGTGCCCTAACGAAAGTGATGCTTGACAGATGAGAGGCTTCGGAGCCCCTGAACAATATTAAGTGGCCGGCTTGGAGATAAGGGCAGTGTAATTCTCAGACGCAAAGCTTGAATCAATGGGACATTGATACGGCAGACAGTCTGTCTGTTTCCTTGGAGTCCTCAGCAGGACGTTGCCGCCACCACCACAGCTTTCCAAAGTTCAAGCCGAAACTCTGGCCTACAGAGAAAGACGAAGAGCGAAAGATGAGACCATTCCATGCCCTTTGGATGCAACTGCATTTTTTTCCTTCTAGGTCCATTAAGTACAAACCTTTTATAGCAGAAACAAACTCTAAGCGAGTATGACAATGCAAATGCTTGGCCAATGGATTGTAAACAACTGTCCAGTTGTACATTCTTCACTCTGGTAGTGATAATCTTAGCTACTGAAAAGGGGCATTCAGGCAATATTCAGACTGCCTGCAAAAATCTGATTTTTTTTTTTTTTTTGCATATCCAGATTTTATCTAGATGGGTTTTTGAAAGTCTGGAAAGCAACAAAAAAAAACACATTAAATCTGACATTTGGAGGTGGTTTGAAATGCGATACCAGTCCGATTTTTACAGCTGTGTTTTAGTCTGGACGCTCTGGCTGCTCAAATCAGAATAGCTTTCAAATCACTGTTTCAACGGTCAAAACCGGTGAGGGAAATGCCAGAAGTATTCCTTCATACATTCATATATCTGTACCAGTCTCCTCACTGAGTTTTTCTTGTGCAACGGAGGAGTGCTGCACCACAACTCAACGTTTATTTGGAGAGCGAGATGATGGAGACCTCCATTTTTCATGCATCTGTTTTGAAAGCCTTGTTATGTCCAAAGCAACCCATTCAGATAGGTTGGTTATGTCTGGACACACAAATCTTATTTCACTTGCACACTCTCCTAATAGTGCGGACAGTCTACCTGAAAAAAAATCCGATTTGCTTGACTGAACATATAGCCTCAGATATCTGTGCCAGATATTTTAATCCAGATGTGTTATTGTTCAGGTAACTAGTGTTGCTCCACCAATGACAGTTGTTGAATTAAAAGAGAAAACTAATGGTGCAATTCACACCATTTCGGAATTACTGTAATTATGAGATTCCAACTTGGAAAAAGGGCCCACATGGAACATACAACTCGCAATTACAATGTTCAGATTTTACATCTCTTAATTAATGTGAATGAACCATAACCATAAAAGACAGTTTACCCCTGCTTGCGGCAATGAAACCGACAATGTGTGATTGTGGAGCTTACGTTGGTAGAAGTGCTGCATTCATGTACCTACAAATGAGTGTTCCCGGGCCTTAAAGTCACGATTCTTCATACAATTGTGTAACCCGAATCTGAACAAAACTTTAAAGAGGGCCCCTGGACTTTGAATACTGTAGATGAACACCTGAATCCTCTTTTTAACTGACATAAAAGGTTAACCTATCCAACAAAGCCTTCTCAAAATTAACAATGATCTGACTTGCCATTCCATCACTTTCAAATCCAGGCATGCTTTTATGTCTCTGGGTCTTTGGCTTGGTCACATCAGGAGTACCCCTGACGCTTTGTAGTGCAACCTTTAGCACCCTGCAAACCACTAGGTCCTTTGTAGCTGGGCAGAGGTGCACTTTGACAGGGAAAGTTGAAAGCGTTCAACATGAAGAGGGGGATCTCCAAGTTCCTGCTCTTTGAACTGAGCCGATGAAGTCTTCCTTGGATATGTCAGTCCAAACCAGGGATGGGAATGTGAGGATGAGACGAATAGATTGACATTAAACAGAAGCAGAGTCCTTTACCATTTTACCCACGGACAACTTGATGTTTTTTGCACTGGCTGTCTTGTAATTGTGTTTGTACACTTGTTAGCATTGTGTATGTGCAACTGAACACATCAGGCATTACTGTCCTGCGTAATCCAGATAGAGCTTGGCCATGTAAATGCATGTATCCAATTTAAAGACGCCAAAGAAACCATTAAATCCAATCTGCACATGTCGCCTGAGAGTATCACAGGATGTATCCTGGTTGTTGCCTCATATTAAACCTGTGGCATTTTTAAAAAGAGGTTTGACCTCTACTTGACACCTCTGCTAATCATAGAGTGCTTGTCTGTCGCTCAGAGCATCCATTTTGAGCTCTGCGCTCTTGCTATCGCCGGAGCGGCAATCACAAGGTTCACTGGGGCAATTAAGGAATCAGTAGCAGGAATGAAATTTCATCTTATCTATCCAAATGTCAGCATCTAATTTAGTTTCCATCATTCAACTGCCAATCACTGAAAAGGGAGATTGGTTGTGTCTTTTCCGTCTCAAGTCATGGAAACCTCATGCTTTTTTATTTTCTGCTTAAAATGGACTTTTTTAGATAAAAGAGAAATGGATGAAGGACTTACCTATTGTTTATCTCTTCTCATTGTAGGGAGGTGGTACATTCGGGAAGGCTGGCTTAAGACAGTGCCCACTAAAGGCACGGAGGCAAAGCCCAAGATGTTTTACCTGTTCTCTGACATCCTGCTCCAGGCCAAACCATGCAGTCCCATACATCCTACCCACGGGGATAAGTTTGTTTGTCAGCAAGTTTACCCGTTGAAAGAGTGCACAGTGGACAAAGTCTTCGGCCACACCAAGAGCCAGGGAGGCCTTATCAGTGTAAGTTGAAACAGTTTGCAATATATTAGAGATGTTGTTTAATATGATTACAATTCAGTTGGAATTGTGAAGAATTCAATTATGATCTGAATCTTGGTCATGATTCAGTTCAGATATTTTGGTATGATAAGATATTCTTAAAGGTAATCACAAAACTAAAGATGGTTGACCATTGGACAAACAGCTAGTCCCACCCAAACTCACGTCATTGGTTGAGCCAATGTTGATGTAATGTTGTGAAAATAATCTTGTGACTGTTTTCTGGGAAATCACCCAACTGTTGGCTCACTTATGGTTGTCTCTTCATATCAAGGGATAGGATAAAGTATTTTAGCATATACAAAAAAAGTACACACTTCACCTTTAGAACACAAATTGAATATTTCATCTCCTGCTTCATTGAACGTGTCCACACCAGATGTAAACTGGGGATTTGGGTGAACTGAAAATGAACGAATGCACAGTACATTGGGTATTATTGTAGAAATTATAATTGATTTTTAGATTCTGTAATCGATGCAATTTTCATTGGCAGATCAATGCATCGTTACAACCCCAACCCCTTTTTTTCTTTGGGGAAAATCTGAGGACTATTACACACTTTTATCCATTATAATTCCTCATAGGCACTCTTCAGATCCATCAAATATATTTGAACCGTATGTCCCTCCCTCGCCACACTTATTGTTCTCAGAACGACTTGATCTGCAAGTTAGCAAAAATGATCAATTTATCATTCTTCTACTTGCACTAATTACTCGAGTTCCTCATAAGGCTTCAAGTTTTAATGTCTCCACATGGCTTGATCTCTTTCCAGGTCTCTGTGCTGCCGCTGCGTGACAAATTATGTCTAAGCGATCTCTGCACTCTCATGAAACATTCAGACGAATGTATCGCACACCACAAAGGCATTTATTCAACACGGTTTAGTTTAAGTGCCTAAACCCATCAACATACAGAAGTGGATTTCGTTTTGTTATTTTGGTTCTAACAAACTAACTAATATACACACTGTAAATGTATAATACATCTACTCATTAACTACATAAATGCAACATACATAAAGATATAGTATAAAAGGTGTTTGGGCAATTTGGCCTCTTGACATTTAGCAATATTTTGTCAGAATTAAGGGGGGGATGTCACCAGTGGACCCAGATGTAGTACGCTATCTTGTCACAGTTATGTTTTTTGCGCGTGGAATAGACATAAAAAGGATGTTCTGAGCCACCCGCCCTGAAGAACTGTGGGAAGGCGCTCGCATCACTCCATCAGATTAGATCACAGATCCATCTCTTCCGCTCGGCCGCTGAATGCATCTTCCTGAAACCCTGTCAGTGCTCCACACTTCTCTCCTCTCCTGCGGCCGTGGCTGCATATTATCTAATGGCTAGAAATGGCATTTCATTAGCCTGTTATCCCACAGAGGCCTCAAATGCATACTCAATAGCATTAGGTGTAATTTCTCATAAGGACACATTATTGATCCCAGTTCCACCCGCCTCCCACCTGGACCGAAGGGGAAAGAGGCTGTCAGCACTCTCTGGCCCCTCCCCAGCCGGGCCGTGAAGAATTAAAGCAAAATTAAATTTGACAGCTGGAAATGCCATGGCAATCTATATGCAAAGTTTGAAAGTAGTAGTAGTAGAGGAAAATGTGCTATGAAAATTTTGGCTCTCTCTCCCCTATCCATTTGTCTAGATGAGAGAGTGTTTGTATACGGATAATTTCTTCCCTCCTTTTCTCTTTCTCTCGCATTTCCCATCTTCACGTCCCCCTCCCTTTTCGACTCTCCATCTTCCTCTCCACGGCTCCCCGTCTTTCTTCCTCCACCTCCTTGAATATTATTTTGCATCCATGACCGATTCCCTTTGATGTATAAATAATCAAGTGAAATTATGTGCGTCGAAGAGGCTCCGTGCTCCGCCGTTCGTATTATACAAAGTAATTTCTACCTAAGAGGGTCAGATTTCCTGACAAATCCCTAATTACCGCATCGCAATAGAAGTGGAATCTATTTGTGCATAAATCAGGCCACCCGTCCCCCCATGCGGCGGACCCCTAATATCGCGCTTCGCTTTGCCTCGCTCACTGAACTCGGTAATTAGATAATACTTTTGATGATGGTACATTTGAAATCTTAATCTGTTTAATACCTAATGAGAAACAAGCGCGCCAGCCCCCCGCCTCCTTAAAATACAACCGGAACGTCATTACTTTTTACCAGGTGTCCATTAAAGACCTGGCTCTGCTCATCATTACGATTCCGTTCCCAGTCGTAATAAAGATTAGGCCTGATTATTGATATGCTGTCGGTAACTGCTGCCATTTTCTCCACTTCGCCGGCCTCAGGTAAATGTGAAAGGTCATTTAATATTTTCAAGGCCCCAATTATAATCCACTCTAATGGGTCCCCATTGTAATTATTCCGAGGATAAAGCCTCTGCCTTTGTTTGGGGTTGGATGGTTCCCGTTGTCTTGTTTGACATGTGTAATCTAGCAGTAAAGTCTCCTCAGTGCGGATGAGTGATGGTAATTGCTGTTGACTCAAGGATGAGCCATCTGACGGGAGGCGGAGAACGTGGGCCGAGCTCGGAAAACTTGTCCTCGAAGTGCAGATTGTGTGCCAAATTAGCAGCTGAGAGCATCAACTGGCACATCTGTGCATCTTTGGGCTCGAGTGGAGAACGTGTCGCTTCCTCTGCATCTCGTTTTTGTGCCTGATGACCTATTTTACATCAGATCGATACCAAATTTTCGACATAAATGTTATTGACAATGCTTTTTAATGTTCTGTGAGGTGGATTAAATGGCCTCAGTCTGTGTTGTGCGTTTTGACACACTCGGTGTCTTAAAATTCATCTTAAGGACAATTAAGGCCCTTAAGATGCCTAATTGTTGCTGTACCTCCTCTACTTCTGCAGGCTATATGTAGGAGGAACTGTGAAGTCAGTACTATGAATCATAAGATCACAAACGGTTGAGATTTCGAGACTGTGGTCAATGTAAACACTGGTGGCAATGTCAACAAGCTAGTTCATGGACGCCCTCTAGTGATCCTATGTAATTATGCGCACAACATGTTGGTTTCATGTGCTTTTGTAAAAAAAAATCAATTGAATGATTCAGTAAAGTAAAAAGTAATATTTCCCATACCTAAAATAAATGTGAGCACATTCGAATAAGTATTTACAAAAAAAAGTCTGCTAAATAAAAAATATATTAACTTTTGCGTTTTAATATATTAATCAATTGCAGTTTTAATGGATTTCTGAATAAGTAACTGCTATGAGCATCATACATTGACCCTATGCCTAAGAACACATGTTTGATCGGTAGACCTCTTAAATTGATACCACCAAAATGTCTACATATTTTTATTTTCAGTCTCCATCACCAGTTGTCCTCATGCATAAACTCTCAATGTCTTCCTCTAAATCTGAATGTTTTCTGTTTCCTTTCTTCTAGTTGACCTTCGCCAGGGCCAAACTGCTCCTAATGTCCGATGATCAGGGGGACATTAATGATTGGTACCGTAGTCTCTGCATGGCTATTGGGTGAGTATGTCCGTCCACACAAGGATGCTCAAAATTCACCCCCTAAAAAACGAAACTTTCTAGGTTACAATTCCAAATCCCTGTCCACTGTATCACTCCACCCAGGATTTGAAGTTAAAGGATCGACACAGCTCATGATTATCAGTCTTTTACACTGTACTCAGTGTTAGCATAACACCAGTGCCCTTTACTCTCACAGGACCTGAGGGCAGGGCGAGAGTTGGCATGGGGCGAGCTCCTCACAGGGGGACAGTCCCAACTCTCAAAGCTAAGCTAATTAGTTCAGCACTGTCTGAGCGATTGGGAGGGACAAACTGTCACCTCATGCTATCTTCAGAGAGGGGATCTCCTCGCGTGTGGCCCTCCGCCCAAACAGGCCCAGGGGAGCACAATTAGAGCCCGAGCTGGACAGGTTGTGGTGGCTGAGGTCAGAGGTGATTGGTATGAAAAAAGAAAGAGGGGCCAGTCACTGTCCTACTTGTACAACCAATTTGGATCCAGTAAATGTTTTTTTTTGTGTGTTTGTTTTTATAACATCAACCAGCATTATTATTCTGATGATTGTTCATTTTTGCAAAGAAACTTAAACATAAAAAAAAAATGAAAACGTTTTAAAATTGTAATAACCTTATTTACATGCATATCATACATTTTGTCCATTTCTTATCGTTTTCTTTTTAAGATTTTTATCTTTTTATTAGACTTTTTTTCTCCATTATCAAGACTATTTTTGTACCTTGACATTTTTTACTTTGTGCCCCAAAAGATATCAAAGTTATTATTTTTTTTAATTCAGAAATTAAAAGTGTGGTTATCATAGAAGAGGTTTAAGTCATTGCATTTCTGAATAAATATATAATTCATATGAGTGTCATACATCAACCCGTACGAGCAAGTGACGGACGTTTGATCAGTATAAATACTTTTTGACCTAAATTTTCTTCCCTTTAGGTCCAATTACTAAAACATAGTTTGTTTTCATAACCATTTTCTATCTTCTCTCTGACCTGTATTATTAAGCGGGTCATTTTTTTTAAAATTCTTTGATTTATGACGTCCTCACAGATCCAATAAACTTTTATCTGCCCCATACTTCAACAGGTTTAATAAAAAATGGTTCACAAACCTGAAATATGTCACGAAAACTGTTAAGGTTAAAAGGTTTTTAAAAAAACAGGGATCGTTGAAAATATTAACTTGAGTTGCTGAAAATGCAGAGCAGTAGGTGCTACACAAGGCCTGGAACTGAAAGTCATTATTGAAATAAGTCATTTTTTATGGTTTATTTTCAATAAATGATCTTTTGAACTACAATAAAACTCAATTAAACATATTGAAACTTTCAAAAGTCAAAAAGAGCAAGTAAAATGTATCATTATTTGACCAATGTGGGACCCATTACTCTTTAGGACCTCCTTTTTTAATTACATTCACATTTGACACAAGCCATGTCACCGATCCGTGTCACGTGACTTACAGTTGCCTTTCTGATTCTGTATTTGTTCCCCTCCATGATTATCTGTAATGCAAATGTAATCGTTTCCTTTCACGAAACGCTATCAGATTCCCATTATTGATACGGCATTATGTTATTGCTATTGCTTGTGGTTGAGAAATACAATCCTTGAGCTTATTTTCAGTTGTTGCATACCAGTAATCTTAATGCCACTGATTATTGACTCGGAGCAAGACCACAAACATATCGAGGCCCTTAAAACGATCCGAAACTTAAGAGCACATCATTTTGTCCAATTTCCTTCGCACAGAAGTATGGACAGAAATCAACATATCACTAATTCAGAGTGCAAATAAGTCAGGAAAAGTGTAATTCATCTTCCACCAGAGTGGTTTTGATTATAGTAAAAGAATATTTCTATAAGAAATGAACATGGTTTAAGCTTCACCCACACAAACGGACCACTACTAGTTGTTGGCCAAGGGACTCAATCAGTTGACCAATCGATGGTTTCGATGACATGAGGTGAAGGTGGCTGGAGCCTTATGACAAAACTGAGCGTCTCCTATACTCCAATGCAAACCACATACTTCCCTTTCATGTCACCAGAAGAAAAAAATCACACACAAATATCCTGTGCTATAGACACGGTGTCTCCTGTGTTGGATCAAAAGGAATTGATCAATGTATTTGAACATTTTGAGTTCTCCTGCTTCTGATTTAGTTACTTTTTCCCCAATTTCACACATTTTTGTGTCACTTTCTGAACCGTAAAATGCATTTTGAAGTATATTATTGATTCGTAGAAGATTATGTAAAGTGGGTCCACAAGTCTAATAATATAATCAATGTATGATTTTTTTTAATTTAAAGAACATTTTTGAATGATCTTTATCCTACTGTGTGATATTATTCATAAAAGAAAGCTTGAGACCTAGTGAAAATGTATCTTTATTATTATTAGTTATAATATATGTAATATATAGATATTGTAATATGAACAAGATGTTTTATTTCTTTTTTAAATTCTCAATCTTCTGCTTTTTAGGTTATATTTCTTTGTTTCACACATTTTTATGGTACTTTCTTAACCATAAAATTCCAAAAAATAACCCATATGTTTGTCTAAATTGTCATTTAAATATATTTGTATTGACAAAACAAGTAGTGCTATAAAGAGCATTTATTATTTTATACTGTAATTTTAGACCCGCAATGTGGAAAATTTTAGTTATAGTATATATTATCTTATTTATTTTGGGGGTCACAAAATTACACATGGTCACATCAGAAATTGCTAAGAATACAAAAATCACATTTAAATACAGCTATGGTCATGTCTTCGTCAATTTTAAAGAGGTAGTTGATACTTTTTGGATTTCATCTTAAAACCGCAGTCGTGAGCTGGAAGGGTTTTTTTTTAATGCAAGGTACAAGTTGTACAAACGTACTACATGTCTCAGTGTAACGAGAGCCGGAGTCTGGAGAACGGAGATGTGGTCTGAGTTTATCATCTGTATTAAAATGTCAAAATTAGCATCAGATATGACATGAAAGTGAAGCTAATGATGTAGTCATTTCATACTCCTGATTCCGGTTTAAATGACTGATCTTAATGTCTTCCCTGGTTCAGTTGATGACTGATGGTCTTGTTTTCCATCTCAGGCAGCTGAAGTCAAAGAATACAGTGGTGCACAAGAGAGACGAGCTGTGTCGGAAGCCAATCAGATCCAGACCAGACTGTCAGAACACTCCAGAACTCCAAACACGTGGAATAAAACGGATCATGGTCGGTCGTTGCTTCCTGTTTAATTATATTTATTGTTAAAATGAACTAGTAATTTGATTATAGAAAGGGTATCCTAAAGTCTGAGACCATTATTTTTTTTAAATGTAATATTTTTTATATTATATTATATAAATTTGTATTTATTTAAATTGTTTAAGATCCTAAAACGTTCTATTTCCTGGTTTAAATTGGATTTTAAATCCCATATTTTCCCAGATTAGAAAAATAAATGGTTGTTAAGTAAATGAGAAATATGTAATATTTTAAAAACTTTTTTTTTAAATAAATAATATAACTAGAAATGTAAAATAAAATTGCTATTATTAGGTCACTAATCACATTTCTGAAATACATTTCAAAATAATTTTTTATTCAATTATGTTTATAATATTATATAATTTATTTAATTTTTACTGTTTTCTCATTACATGTACTTAATCTTGTGTGGTTTGTCTCATCCAGATGTTGGATGAAGAGGTTAGGGGTCACAGTTCCATCCCTTCAACAGAGGAGAGCGGCCACAGCGCCACCAAGAGGCTGAAGCCTGATGAAGCTCCTGCTGCAAAGTAAGTTTTACTCTGACATAACCAACACTGTCCCATCTCTATCATCTTAACCGGCCCATTATTTACCCAACGTTTGTAATACACACAGTCTTACTCTGAAGAAAAAGTCTTTTTATGTTGTGTGGATATGAAATATGTACCTGCAATGGAAATTTCAATAGCATAATAACACTCGCATTGTTAATGCAGACCACAGGAGTCTTCTGGATCAAGCTGTGTCATTCTGTGAGGTTGTTGTGAAAGAGCTGAAAGATCTGCCCACAGACGGAAGGTGATTTAGGGTGAATGTATCAACTACATACTGCTGCATTTTTTTCCATATGCCAAAGTATATGGTGGTGCAATGCAGGGTTATTGCTTTTAAGCATGTTTACTGTTCACTTTTTAAAGATTTGTAATGTATACTGAGATGTCTTACCAAGTGTAATTCAATGCAGAGATACTCACTGATAATGGCCAAAATCTAACAAAAAAACATTATGTATAGTAACAGAATATTTATCCAGTCACAGACTCTGATGATATATCATTATTGTGCAAAACATTTTATGCTATTACCATTTATTATAAAATTTTAATATAATTTACATGAGGTTCTGATCTGTTATACACTGGAACAAAAAGGGGAAACCTGCTTTTATATATATATTGTATATTACTTTAATTATGATGATACTCTGCTATCCTCAATGCAAATATATACATAGTT